TAAACATATGCCAATAGCCGTGCAGTTCTCCCGGCACTGCAATGGCCAGCGGGCCGTCCACTGAGTTGTGGAAACCCTTGTCTTTGTACATATCCTTATAGGCAGCCGCCGGCGCTTTCTCTCTCGCGTTTATAGCAAACGATTTGTTTGTTTTCGCTAATTAACAAAATATAAACATTTTGGATACAATCCTAATCACAATAATAGAAATAGTTGTCACAAAATTACTGTTATAAATGAGTATAAGTGCTCCGCCACCCAAACCCATGGACTCGGGTATAGTAACACCCATACAGAGTAACACCGCTATCATTGAGTCCATAGCGTTGCCGTCTTCCTCCAGAATCTCCCTATCGTTTCGTAATCACAGAATTTGTAATAACTTTTTACAATTGAAAAACAAGTGTTTAACTCAATTGTAACTCACTTTCCGATGCGAGCGCAGGGCTGTGAGTCCGTACTGACCGCATACTTGTTAAACACCCCTAACTTGGACTCAGATTCATAAGAGCCGAGACAACTGTCGGCACATCTCCGCCCGTAATACACACCAAACCCAATGCCAACGCCGACCACAACACATACCAAACCGATTCCCACAAATACTTTGCATAACTTTCGGCTATAAGTTGGACGGAAATAATTGGACACATCTTTCAATTGATTGTCATTTAATAAATTAGCTCTAATTTCATTGTCGACACAATGATCGCTCATTTTATACAACTTATAGACTTATAGTTATAATTATAATTTAGTTGTAATTATATCACAATTATGTGTAAAATTATTGTTATTAAATTCTAAATATTTCATTATATGATTAATAAATTAATATAAATATAAAAATTAATTAATTTTGGAAAAGAATTCATTGTAAGAATAAATGCCTACAAAATAGCCTATGATTTCGAAAATTGTTTATTGAATACCAAAAGTCTACTTATACAGTGCAACTTCTCTTGGGTGAACTTCTCTTGGATGAACACCTCCTCATAATGAACGGTTTTAAAATTAATATTGGATTTCCTATACTTATAATGTTAAAATAACCTCTCTTAGGTGAACTTCTCCATAATGAATACCTCCCCATTATGAACGGATTTATAGAGATTAAGATAAAACTTTCACTCCCTATAATGAACAAATATAATCATAAGCAAATGATTCCCAAAAGTATTCAAAATAGCTTCTAATCTAAAACTTTAAGCAAACAAAACACACATTTTATATAAAGTTTCATTCAATATTGTATGAGATGTGTATTCATACTCTGATTAGTGAACTATAAATTATTACTTTATATCTAGAGACGCATCCAATGCTCAAACATTTAAACATTTGAACAAAATTAACATTAAAGCATTGAATTGTCACTTTATTACTATTAAATAAACTAAAATTACCTATTATTTAAAATTAATCAAAAATTAGACATTTTTACTCAAACCTCCCTTGGATGAACCCTCCCTATAATGAACACTTTTGCCGTGCAACTGGCCGTTCACTATAGAGAAGTTGCACTGTATTTTGTTTGTATTTTTTGTGATGACTTTTCAGTATAGAAACTGATGGAAACTGACGTCCAAAGAGACAATCAATACATTTAAGGCTAAAATAGCGCTGCATTTAAAACACACTTTTTTTTATCACAATCCAAACAAAATATTGAATTTGTTTTTCAGATAGATTTCCTATGAATTGTTAACTAATATTAATTATTCTTATAATTAAATTGAATTGTATTGATTAAATTTTCCACGATTTCTAAATTTAAAATTAAAATATGTTTTTTGATAAATGAGTAAAAATATATCAAAATCATACCGGCTGTACATTTTAATCAATACAAATTTCTGGTACTTTTTCCACAACTATTATAATCCAACACTTTATTAATAATGTCTGGTTTATAACAAAAACCAATTGTGAGCTCAATGTTTGAAATTCAACATTAAATTGAGTTTTGTATAAAAGCCACAAATATTTTGTTTATTTATCTTTAGATTAAATTTAAAAGCCTTTCACTAAATGTATATTTTATAACAACCAATCAATTAGAGGGCCAGGAATTCAATCATCAAACATAAACTGATCATCAGTTTCTCAAATAAATGGCATTTAAATATAGTATTCAATACAAGAATCCGTTTAACACACGATGAAAATCTGAACAACCAATCAATTAGAGGGCCAGGAATTCAATCATCAAACATAAACTGATCATCAGTTTCTCAAATAAATGGCATTTAAATATAGTATTCAATACAAGAATCCGTTTAACACACGATGAAAATCTGAGCTCGTATTCAGTCGTTTTGTGATTTTGCGAGAAAAAGAGTTCACTAAACCTGAACTGAAGACACTATTGGATACCATCCATAATACTCTACAAATATATTAAATTACATTCTGTGCCCAAAATTGTTTATACTATAGGATAGGCACTAATCAAACATTAATAAAAAGGATTAATGTAAATAATCACAGAATTTGGCCTAATATTTATTTTTAACAATTGATTTCGTGTGATATTGAAAACTCATTTCCCCTTCTCTTCCCATTACTCTCAAAATCTATTGCAATTAAAATTAAGTTTTTTAAACAGAAATTTTCATATAATTAACCCAAAGGCTTGTATATGAAGACACTTACGTATAGACAAGTAATAGAAAGTAAATGTTTTGCTGAACCATTTTGTATAGTAAATGAGATGACAATTCATTATAAACTAAACCAATCATTACTATAATAACAATTCAGTTATATAAACGGATATTTAATCAAATTGAACAAACAATGCCTACAAATATAGCCATTATATAATTATACAGTATTAATGCGCTCTCAAATATAACACCAGTTATATTAATTTTTCATTAAATCTAACATGTAATAAATCTAAACAAGGTAATCTGTATTTGACCCTTATGTGCCTCTGATACTAAATCTAACATTTATATTAAAAATAATTTGTTGTTAATGATTAACCTGCACATTTCGTAGAATTTGTTAAGTGCTTTTTAAGTGCTGGCATATTCCACACATCATACATGTTCAATTATAATAGTTATGAAGTATTTGGATAATACAACTAAATTTCAAACAAGCGTATGAGAAAACTAACATAATTATATTAATAACATTTTTGTTTATATAATATAAGTTCAATATAAATAAATATTACCATAAAGATTAATATACTGTAAAATAATTATTATTTTAACTATAAAAATATGTTAATTAAAACACATAATAAATTATATGAGTGGCAAATATGCTGTACGTGTTAATGAATCTTAAATTTTTAAGCTCTAAATCATATTGGTTGGCGTTTTCAATAGTTGTGTAAACTATAATCGCTATAAAACACACATTTTAATAACATATTTACCACTAATTGATTATTTGATACAAAATTTGTATTAAATACAATACAAATATTATTACTTTAACAGGATTACTATAAAATTGATGAAGTTAAAGTCAACAAAGTTAGACCAAATGTAGCATTAATCGATGAATCGCAATATTTAAGTAAAGTTCTCTGTTTATTACCACTTTATTTCAGCTATTTATTACATGTACATTAAATCATAAGTTAAATTAAATTTGACAATTATTACAATTTAAGTTTAGAAATCAACCAAAATCTATATAATAAATACAATGACTTACTTTCTGGCTTTATATACATTGACGCCTGCATTGGAATCCTTTGGATTCTCCATTTGCTGTACTCTTGTATTCAATATTTGTTTTATATATTGTAACACAAAATCTATATAATAAATACAATGACTTACTTTCTGGCTTTATATACATTGACGCCTGCATTGGAATCCTTTGGATTCTCCATTTGCTGTACAATTGGATTCATTATTTGTTTTATATATTGTAACGAAAACTTTATTTTTAAAAACTAAAATAAGTTCTCACATATAATTAGACATATATTTTATACCTATATTTTGTACTTTTTTTTATTACAGATTATAAAACAGAAGCAAATTCCAGTGTTAATCAAACATATCACTGAAATAACTGTTATATTAATATAAATAAATTACTTTTTAACACTGAAAGAATAATATGTATAATATTGTGACTTATTATAATTGGCAATAAAAATCAATTTATGACAAAAGTATTTAATAACAATACAATGGTATTGAACGTGAAATATAGAAATCCTTTATTTCGATATAAATTATATACTACTTCTTAAAACATATTTCGGATCACTTTATTATATACAGTATATCCTTATTATATATACATTGTATGAAATGTGATTAAATAGTCGATATTTAAACAAATAAAAACTTTATTTAATGGCAGAAAAGGTTATTCAATACACAAATAATACCATATATCCAATGAATTGAATCCATTGTTAAGAATTGATTTTGTGCTAAAATAATATACAAATAATTTGATGAAAACTAGAGAAATATCTTTAAAGAAAGAGTTATTTTAATAAATTGATGACAAAATCTGCAAAATAAATATCATTTAGTATTTGTAATGAAATTTAAATGAAATGTAAAACTTGTGCTCAATTTTCCCACCAATAGATCAAATGTTTCATATTTTGTTTTATTTAATGGCAATTGAATTGCATTTAATAGTAATATAAAGTGTACTAAAAAACAATCAAAAAATAAACGCAAAAATAATTAATAAGATTTCATAATACTTTTTATGAGTCTATGACAAAGACATATACATTGAAAATAAATTTTTATTGTAAATTAAAAGTGATTCTTTGTTTTACAATCATTTTCTTATCTGAAAAATACATTATAAATACTAATGAAGAACAACTCAATTAGGGGTGAAATTCAAATCAGTAAAATTTAAAAAAAACTCATTTCAATTTATTTAGAAAATTTTGATTAAAAATATTACCGTTAAGTAAAGAATGAAATGAATGGGAAAACAAATAAGAAATTTTTGCTATAAATAACATGAAATAGATATACGAAACGATTAGAAGCACAACAGAAAATACGAAAACGAGTTTAAGTGATAAAAAATTGAAAAACGTTTTCAAATTGTCATTCATTGGTCTCATCGATCACATCAAAGCCTTCCAACTCGTCCTCATCATCGCCTTCGCCTTCAATGGAGTCCTGTTTAACCATTGCATCAAAACGTGCGTTGAATTTAGCGATGTCTTCGTCAAAGTCATCCAAAGACACACATTCTATGTTTCGGTCCGCTTTAACTTCGGTTTTAACTTCGGGTTTAACTTCGGGTTTAACTTCAGGTTTAACTTCAGGTTTAACTTCAGGTTTAACCTCTAGTTTAACCTCTGTTTTAACTTCTGATTTAACCTCTGGTTTAACCTCTGATTTAACTTCGGGTTTAACCTCTGGTTTATCTTCGGGTTTATCTTCGGGTTTAACCTCTGGTTTATCTTCGGGTTTATCTTCGGGTTTAACTTCTGGTTCATGTTTGGGTTTATCATCCAGTTTTGGATCCGTTTCACTCAAACCAACAGAATTCCCCTTCAATTCTTGTGTATCAATCAATTTCTCCGTCAAATTTTGGTTCAATTTCTCATCGCATTGATTGACTGATATGTCCTGAGATTCGACAGCGATTTCTATTGTGGTTTTAAGGGCGCGAACGGACTCTGAATTCTGTTTATCAGTTGTAATCGACTCATCCATTAAATCCAGTTTTGACTCGTTTTTCAATTGTTTATCCAAATTGTCTCCACTTTCAGAGTTCTCTACAATTGCTTCCTTCGCCATCACATCTGAAACATTGTTTGTCTCAACCTTTTCCACCGCTTTATCATTAGTCGTCTCAATGGGAGGAACAACTCCGTCAACAACTCCGCCATCCTTTGCATTACCACTCGTTTCACTATTTGATTTGCTATTGGTTTCAGATATTTGTTTTGAGTCCAGAGATATATCAGTCATTTCGACAACATTTTCGGTATTAGTTTCGCGCTTAGCGTCCGACCCATCGCTTCCCAATTCAAGTAATTGATTTTCATCGATATCTTCGGCATTATCTTCGCAATTGATTTCATCGATTACATACATGTCTTCAATCTCATCGATAGTGTCTTCCTTTGCAAGAATTTTGTTAACGTTTTCGTTCTTCGCGTTTGTTTCGGTTTCGCTCTTTTTGGCGCTTTTATCGCCAGTTTTTTCGGGCGTTTTCGACTTAACGTGTGTTTTGTCAGTATTTTTATCAATAGTTTTATCAGTTTTAACGGGAGTTTTAGATTTATCACTTGATTTGTCTGCTTTTAACGGCGTTTTAATCGGTGTTTTCGACTTATCGATAGGTTTTTCGATTTTATCAGGAGTTTTGGGCACATCTTTTGACGACTTATTAGTCGGTTTATCAGGACTTTTCGACTTATCATTAGATTTACTACTCTTGGGATCAGTCTTCTCGGCGTTCTTCGGCTTATCGCCGGAGTCTTCAGTCTTATTAGCGCTCAAATTAAGCTTAATTCGGGGCGAAGTGGCCGTCATATCGGCATTATTCTCGTCGGCGGCCTTCGAGTCCTCCAATTCTTTGACATTTTTCAAACCCTTATTCATGGCCTCAATCCTGTCCTTCACCTCCTTATCCTTGCGCTTCACCTCATCCTCTAATTTCCTCCGTTTGTTCGCCTTTTCCTCCAACTCTTTGTCCAACTTTTCTCTTTCGAGTTCCCTTTCCTTTCGCTTCAATTGTGTGAACGCTTTGTCTCTTTCGGACTTCCATTTGAATTCATAGTCGTTGTGCTCTAATGTGTAGCGCTATTCGCCGTTTCAGACATAACATAATGCGTTCAATCAATCAGTTTATACACTAAAACCTTTAAATTAAGTTATATTTCTCAAACTATCTATAAAATCAATCTATAAGTGATTAAAATCACAACCAATTGTTCAAATTATTGAACTCTGTTTACCAATAGTAAGATATATTAGCAAATCATTAGATAATGGCCTAAACGTAGAGATAAGCAACAAAATTATGGTTAACATTACTGTATAACTCCTGTTGTGTTTGGCGGACTTGAAGTGCCGCTCGCCTTCATATGAATCCTTGAGAAACTCTTTGCATAACTCACAGTAAAATCCTTGCGTCGGTTGAATGAACTGAATGCCTAACAAACGGACAACAAATATAACCAAAAAATCCCAACAAAAGACACTAACCTTTAGAGGCGACGATCAGTTTGTTATCCTTTGATTTGGACATAATTTTATCAAAAGAGCGGATGTAATCCTTCGTAACCCACGGCGTCCTCTCAGACACACTCTGTTTGGTTAAGTGGTCTTTGGAGTGGATGTGTTGGAAGTATTGTTTCATATTGTCGTGGAATTTGTCGCAACATTTACACCAATGCGGACCCGAATCGAAGTAATGAAAACGAGAGTTGCGTTCCTCTTCCTCGTCGTCGTCTTCGATGACAATCACTTCCGCGTCTTTGCCCTTCTTTTGCGGCGACTTTTTGTCCGCACTTGTGGTCGATTTCTTCGGCGGTGTTTTTGCCTTAACAGCGATTCCCTTCTTCTTGGTCTCCACTTTCGATATATCGCCAGTGGTTTTGATTTTCTCCAAAAAGTCTTTTGCCTTTTTAAACAAAATTTAAACTTATAATCAAAACCATTGCTAGAAATCCATGACAACAATAATACCTTCGCTTTGGACTTCTGGATCTCATCCATGAGTTGAGAGTTTTTCGCTAACTTCTGTTTCGTTGATTCCATTGTCGTTCGCAACTCTTTAAGCGTTTTATCGAGTTGTCTGTACGCGTAACTATCGGTTCCGCCGTCTTTGGCCACAATCAGGTTCTGGTCCTCAACTTTCTGTTCGTAATACTTGTTATATCTGTTCATCTCTTCCCGAAGTTTAGTCCTTTCCTACACAACACAACACAAATCAATAGAGATATCAAAAATGACACAATATTTTGCTAAATACCGCTAATAAAAGGTCGTATGGATTAATCAGTTTGTCGTCCTTTTTGTCAATCACTTTCTTGGGAGAGGACTGAGCGGGAGATCTAGCGATCGGTACTTTCAATAGATTGGATGATAAGCTCTTTCTCGGCACCGGTTTTGATGATTTCATTGAATTAATTTGAGATCCTTTTGAAGGTATGATAGGTTCGTATATTATCTCCGGTTGTGGCCACGCAGTCATTTGATGGATAGGCGGAGCACTCCATGCTTTAAAAACAATTTCATATTATATTTAATGATAAATTAAACGCCTTCAAAATGAGTGCAAACCCTGGGCTCCCATTGGATGCATTACTGCCATAGGATTCATAAGAGTTTGGTATCCGGGCATTGGATTCGGGTGTCTGTCCACTGGACGCGGACTCAGGCGTCTCTCTGGTGTACGACTTCTTCGTCGACCTCTGCTATCACTAGGACTACGACTTCGCAAATACCTCTCTCGGCTCCGACTTCTGCTCCGACGACGGTCTCTATAACGCGGAGATATAGACCTCCGCCGCGGGCTTATAGACCGTCGACGAGGACTTATCGGTGAGCGCCGTCTCGGACTAAGTGATGGACTTCTTCTACGCATACGCTTAGGACTCGATTCGGGAGATAATCGTCGACTGCTCTTCGGGAGTCGTTCCGGCGATTGAAGTATTCCCGCGTGAATGGCAGCCATTTGTTGGATTCGCACTCTTTCCACGTCGAGAGAGTCTTCGGGAGTGGGACTCGGATTCCGGAGTTGTCTGTATTTCCTTTTATACATCTCCTCCTCTTCTGCCCAATCGTTTTGGCGCTTTTGCTGATCATCTAATCCCATAATATAACAAATTTTAGACTCATTTATATCTAAAACTTTGCAAAAATTACATAAACTGTTGCCAACGTTTGGCGTCCAACGGCTGTCATCTCTTAGATTAGAACTGCTCTGACTTTTGTCCATATTTTCCATCTCTTGTTTGAGTCTCAGAGAAATGGGTGACAAAACCCGTTCAACGGTCGCAGTGCTCGTCGGCTCCATTGGTGGACCCCTTGACTGATACGCTCCAGAATTCACATCCGATGCGGTGGTCGAGCCGTAAATGTATAGGTCTTCGTCATCGACGGTATTGAATGTAGTATTTTCGACGTATAGCTGATCCTTACTCTTCTTCAGTATAGACTTTTGCGGCATTTTGTTTGGATCGTAGAAATGGTTCTCCGCTATTGTGGACACAATTGGTAGACATTACAAGACAATGAGTGGTAACCAATAAAGTGATGGCAAACGCATACCGGGTCTGAGAGGAGGCGACGTTTTGGCCGAATTGTGTGGCATTTGATTCAATAGGTTTCGGTCTAAACGGGAAAAGTGTGGACTCGAGTCCACGACCCGTCGCTCGGGAGGTCTTTGACCAGACATTTGGCCGTAACTGTTGTCCGAATGATTGGTTCCGACTATAATTTTAATTAAGACAAAATGTCAATTAAAACAAAGACATCATTGGATCAAATAGAGTGATGACTGACTCGATTGGAGGACATTTTGGTTCATATTATCGCCGAAGAGTGTCCGCAAAGAGTTGGCGGCCATATAGAGCTGATTCGTGTCCACCGATGATATCGTCTGAGCGCTCGGTTGCAGTTGTGGCTGATTTGGCACCGATTTGACCGCATTTGCATACGACCTGTTGGGCCACATCTTCAATGGCACACCTCTTCAGCCAATGTATCGATAATTGGATCAAATGATGGATCAAATGAAGTGATAAAACAAAGAAATCATTGAACAGATGAGTGAATAAATTGACACTAATTTGTAAATAATGTGTTTTTGTGTGAATGTATTGAACGCATGCGCTCTCAGCTCAACAGTGAACCACACTTTTCAAACTTTTTAATTGTTTTTAAAGTTTTTAATTAATGTTTAACATTCAATGTATCAATAAAAAGTGTATTTTCAAAATTAATAAAGCAATATAAACACCATATGATAGCATTCCCTGTATTAAAGCTTACACCGGATGTGTATGGTATTGTCTCCATCTATGAATGTTTATTGTTTTATTAATTTTGAAAATACACTTTTTATTTATACACTGANGCTTACACCGGATGTGTATGGTATTGTCTCCATCTATGAATGTTTATTGTTTTATTAATTTTGAAAATACACTTTTTATTTATACACTGAAAGTAATATAATTGATTTAATTTCCTATTGATGTGACTAATTAATGCGCTTTAATTAATATTAAATGTATAGTAAACTAACCCTATTTGAAGTAAAACACTGAGAACAATGTATTATCTGATTATTCAATTAAAAAATAAATTTTATACAGAATTTAATTATCAAAATATTGAAAAATGTACGTGAACAATGTTCATGGTCTTTCTATTAGCACCTTATTGTTAGGTTAAGTTGAATTAAAGCTTTTCTCAAATAAAGTAATTAAATTGAGAGATAATTTACTAAAATTGTAGATAACATACTGAATATACAGCAAACTTTACATGGTTAAAATGTACAATACATGTATTTATGGATCAAATATTGTCAACGCTTCTCATAAAACAAGAGATAAATATGATATACAATAGTGTTATTAAAAAATAAAATCCATATCACATGAAAATCCACTTCTCATCACTTTTCTTATCGCATAATACTTTAATTCAATTTCAAGTATTAATAAATTCATATTCAAATTATATTCAAAGCATAATTATAGTGTAGTAATAATAGTCTTAATCTAGTTTTAACTCTTTATTATAGGAAAGCCTAAATGGTAAATGTAATAGATGTAAAAATTCAGGAATTGAAAAATATATATTTATACCAAGACCTTATTTTCTAACCATTAATAAAATTACTTTCTTTTTATTGTTGATAACTAAGGAATAGTTGTAAATTGATTTAAACTTTCTGTTCACAACATTATCTATAATAAATTATATGTCAAATCAATTAAAGCTTAACTCTCATTACAACATGTTTATAACTGATAAATGTGTTTAAGTATTAAATGTATTTAAATGATTTATATATTAAATAACAAGACTTAATCTAACACTGAATAAACTACAAATCTATAAATTTTACTACAAAGTAACAGTAGTTTACAATAGCGACAAATCTAATAAAATTGTATTAAAATTTATAACTATTGATATCTAATGAATAATATATATAATTAATTGTACAAAAACTGAAAATACCAGAACTATATTGAATCAAATGTCATAAAAATGTACTATTTTTTATTATTGAGAAAAAATTGTATAAAAGTAAGTAAAGGATTCTCATTATAAGAAAGTTTTGTTACTTTTTTGAAAATGTATGCATTTTTAGTTATTTGTGCCATTTTAGGCACAACTTTGGCTGATAATCATGCACTTTGTGGTCAACAAGGTAACTAAATATAAATGTATAAATGAATATAATATATTTAAAATATTGTAATAGTAACCAAGGTCAACTATAATCCCGAATCATATGTGGTCGGAGGTATAAACGCAGAGCCGCAAGAGTTTCCGTGGCAGGTATGGCATCAATTAAAATCACCTTAATTTAGTATTATTTGTTAATTAATTTAATGATTACCAATCAATTAGGTATCTCTTGAATACAACAGTCCTGATGTCAGTTGGTATCACACTTGTGGTCAGTTTTGCTAAATAACTTTCATTCAATACAATTTATTAAATTTTATAATTATTAAAAACCTATTAAATTGAATGAAAAGGCGCTTCTGTTATAAGCGATGAGTGGGTACTGACGGCCGCCCATTGTGTGGACAGGAGTTTAGACGGAGCTATGTATAGGTGTGTCGTCGGAGAGCACGACAGGAGCAAAGTTGAGGGCAAAGAAGCCATCATTAATGTCGTCCGGGTTTGTCATCATTTATTATTTTATCGTTTCAATCATTATTTATTATTATTATTTAATTGAACTTTAATTTGACAAAAAAACTAAAAATCAAGAAATTTGAAAACTTTTTTAATTGAATTTGTTTTTACACAAAAAAAATCATTTCCTAAACAAACATATCTTTTCAAACGATTTAATTGATTGACATATTTTGCCGATAATTAAAATATCCCGTAATTTGATAATTAATTATGGTATAAATATATCAATATATCGTTTCCATAAAATAATTTACATATTTATTAAATTTCAAATTTAATTAATAAATTAATTTGATATGGGTGAACTAATATCTGGGCATTTATAGGTCATACAACACCCGCAATGGGACACAAATAAGATTGTGAACGATGTGGCGCTTCTCAAACTCTCGCGACCCATCAATTTCAGCGGCAATGAGAGTCACGTCCGACCCGTCTGTTTGCCCGATAAACAAGGCGTCGACGATATCGTCGGCACCAAATGCTGGGCCACCGGTTGGGGTCACACCAAATGGCGTA